CCAGTCTAAACATCTGGCTGTGTAATGAACCATAATACAACCAGCCTGAAAATAATAACTTCAACCTTGAGCCGGTGAGATTTGAACAGCCGAACTGCAGTCAGCTGAAGTAGCCTGCAGTGCTGCATTTAACCACTGCGCCACCTCGGCTCTACGCATTAGGTAACATTATCAGTGCTAGAGGGGGTGAGTGTGGAGTGAGCAAACTCCCCTCCCGTCTAGCATTTATGATATTATTCAGTTTGGTAATAAAACATCTGCAAGAAAACTACAGAGAGAGAGGGAGAGAGATGAGGGATGCGTTTTTGTGTGTGTGACAGGCTTTCATTCTTAAGGTGGGACTAGAACTCACTGTCTCCTAGTGATAGGTCCAAAGTCATCGGATCGGATTTTGTGCCTAAAGCGGGACTAGAACCCCCTGTTTCCTGGTGATTATCCGGACGTCACTGAGCTGGCTTTCATGACTAAGGAGGGACTCGAACTCACAGTTTCTTGCTTTCTAGCCTGGTGCCTTCACCACTAGACCAAATGGCCTCTCCCGAAATCCCTGCGCTGTGTTTCTTAACTACACCCACCTCGAACGCCTGCACGTTGCAATCTGCTCATGGATTCGGTTCGCCAACTGTGGCTTGTTACCTGTTGTTGTCCACGTAGCGGATCAGCAACGGGTAGAGGGCGTAGAGGTCGCGGCACAGCACCGAAAACTCATCCCGGATGAGAAGCTCCGTGTCTTCCGATTCGGACTTGGCCTCCAGCCGCAGCTGTTCTTCCTCCGCCACCACTTTCCCGGAGCGCTTCTTCAGCTTCTCCATGGTGGGGATGAAATGGGAACGGAGCAATTCGGGCTTGGCCTTGCTGACAATGGGCTGTGCAAAGACTGCGCAGAGGGGGAAGAGCCTCCTCAGTCGGGAGCAGGCTACCTTTCCCCCCAAGTTTCAAGTTAAAGAGTCCCTCCAAACCATTCCAGAGGGACTGGAATCACGTCTGAACCTCTAGCTGCTTATTGGCCCAGGTAAGTCCCCTTCTGATGAGCCAAAGCCAGTGGGGAAACCAGATCCACTTAACAACCATGTCACTAATTTAAGACCATGAATTGTAAGCCGCCCTGAGTCCCCCCAGGGAAAAGGGCGGCCTATAAATAAACTTTCCAATTCCAATCTGCGGTGATTCCCTTAACAACGGTGGCAAGAAAACTCGTAAAATGGGGCAAAACATTCACTCAATGAGTTTCTCATTTAGCAACATAAATTTTGGGCTCAATTGTTGTCGTAAGTTGAAGACGACCTGTATTCCACTAATTGAGGGTCAGTGTATTTTCCAAAGCACCTGAAGGCCAGACCAGAAACAATGGATAAGGGAAACTTATCAAGGAGAGAAGCAACTTGGAATTAAGGAGAAACTTCCAAACACGGAGGGCAATTAACCAGTGGAACAGCTTGCCACCAGATGTTGTGGGACACCCCATGGCCTAGTATGTCCTTCAAACCTCACCATTACAGGTCCAAGGCTCAGCACAACATGCAAAGGCAGCTCGGGGGTTCCTTACAACCTTTGTTTAATTTTATACCTTATTATGTGACTTCTCCCCAAAGCAAAATTTAATCCCACTTGTAAAGAAAGAAACGCCTAAATCCAGTGGTGAGGTTCAAATTTTTTTTACTACCGGCTCTGTGGGTGTGGCATGGCTTGGTGGGAGTGGCTTAATGGGCGTGGCAGGGGAAGGATACTGCAAAATCCCCATTCCCTCCCGATCAGCTGGGACTCGGGAAGCAGAGAATAGAAGGGGGCGCTTCCAGCCAGAGGTGGTATTTACCGGTTCTCCGAACTACTCAAAATTTCCACTACCGGTTCTCCAGGACTGGCCGGAACCTGCTGAATACCATCTCTGCCTCAATCCCGCCACCCAGGCTCCCTCCGTACCTGCCAACCGCTTCATCCAAGATGCTTCGTCTATGCCCAGGTTGCTGACGATGATCTTCAGGATGTTTCCCAGCAAGGTGTTGAGCTGGTTAGAGGTCACTTCCGTGCACCAAGGACCCTGCGCGTTGGTCTCCGGACCTCTCTCCCACCAACGGGGCAGGTAATTGCAAAGCATCGGTAAGGTGACCTCGATTACGTGGGGCATTTCGGTATAGCGAGCCCCCGACTCCGCCAGCCCGTTGATGTCCTTCATCAGCTTCTCCAGGACTGGAATATCTGGACACATCTCCTCCACACAGTTCGGTAGGCCTAAGACTAGGATGGAAGACAAGCATGTTTAAATTTCTGGACATCTGGCGGGGGGGGGGGAGAGCTAAATTCAGAGACAACATTTTTTCTGGAATGTCTCCAGATGTCAATCGTGAAATGTACCTGGTCGAGGCCATCTTGGAGGGTTCATGGTTGCCACAAGGGAGAAGAAGGGACAGGGAGGGGGGAAAGAACTAGTTTTGATGGGAACCAAGGGCATTCCAACAGGTGACTGCGGAAAGGAGGAGCAAAGTAACCAAGCAACCAGCCAGCACTTTGATTGGACAATGTGACTTATGAATTGGACGAAAGGGGGAACTTTTACTCTTTAATTAGGGGAAACCCGTGGGAACTTTTAGTCAGTTTTCACCAGTTGTGCCAACGTGGAAGTATCCAATAAATCGTTCCTTGAGGAATCTACCTTCCTTGGAGTTCTCTTTTTTTTGGGTGCATTACTTCGGACGCTGCCATTAGAAAAGTGAGATTGCAATGCTTAAAGGCAGTCCTCAACTTATGACCGCAATTGGATCAGAAACCTAGATGGACGTTAACCCCTTGCCCAATGAGGAAGGGGAGAGAATTGGAGGAAGCGTCAAAGCAAAAGAAGATTGCAGTCCCGCCTGCCTCCTTCTGCCACACTCACTGGCTCTCTCTCTCGGGGACTTGGTGGTATAAACAGAACAAGGGTTGAATTCGTTGATATGCGGCTCCAGGAAAGCCACGGGCATCGCCGCTGCCAGCCGTGCCAAGCATTCTCCAAGTTGGGGCCTCTGCCTGCAGGGAGGGACAAGGGACAAAGCCATAATGTGCAAGGACTCCAAGCTAGGCCCTCACTTCATACCTCCTTCCAGCCTAGCTGGCCGTTTCCCAACCTCTTGGGTCCATCTCACCACAAAGGATCTATATCAGGGGTGAAATCCTCCCAGCTCGGCCGAACCGGTAGGGATGATTGTCCCAAATCCTGCCGATTTTAAAAAGCTTAAAAAAAAAGCTTCCGACGATCGCTCGGATCAGCTGTGAGCCTCATGATCGTCGGAACTTCCCACCACCACCAATTTTTTAAAGCATTTTTTTCCTGTCTACTTGGCCGAATCCAGGAAAAAAATGCTTTATAAAGTAAAAAGAAGCTGGCCACCCCCACCCAGTCAACATGATGCAACCACAACCAAGCCACGCCCACAGAATCGGTGGCAAAAAAAATTAGATTTCACCACTGATCTATATCCTTCCCGCTGAAGCCAACCTTGTCCTCATACTCACCTCTCCACATACGGATTTTTGGTTGTCCCCAGGGAGTAGATACTACTCAGAGTTCGGTAGCAGGAGACCTGGACATCATCCACTGAAAGGGCACAAAAGAGAAAGGGAAAGAAAGATTGAACAATGGGAGCCGTGCAACTTCTCCATCCCTCTCTTTTGATGTCAGGAGATGTGTTGTGGCCCGCCAGTGGCTAGCGGAGCTGGCAGCAGATTCGGACAGTGAGGAGGTTGGGGAGGAACCTGGGCCAGTCCTGGAGTCTGGGGAAGGCTC